TGTCCCCTTTTGCATTAGTTCACTCTGAGATATGGGGACCCAATTGTGTTAAATCTAATTTAGGTTTTCAATATTTTGTTACATTTATTAATGATTATTCTATAAGTACTTGGTTGTTTTTAATGAAAAATCGTTCTGAATTGTTTTCTATATTCCAATCCTTTTTTAATGAAATTAAAACTCAGTTGGGATTTCTATTTGAATTTTGTGAAGTGATAATGGTTGTGAATATATTTCTCATTCTTTAAAAAATTTATGACTTCTCATAACATTCTTCATCAAACTTCATGTGCTTATACATCTCAACAAAATAAGGTAATTGAGCACAAGAACAGACATCTTGTTGAAACAACTCGCACTATTTTAATTCATGGTGAGGTTCCTAAACATTTTTGAGGTGATGTTGTTCTTACTGCATTTTATCTTATCAATCGCATATTATCTTCGGTTCTAAATAACAAAATTCCTCATTCTCTTTTATTTCCTCATGAACCTCTACATCTGTTACCTCTTCAAGTTTTTGAGTCTACATGTTTTATTCATAATTTTAGTCCTAGACTTGATAAGTTATCTCCTAAATCACACAATTGTGTTTTTTAAAGGATATAAGTGTTTCTCTCCTTCTCTTAACCTTATTTTATTTCTAAAGATGTCACATTTAATGAGTCTTCCTTTTATTTTAAGTGTTTTTCTTCTCCATGTGTGTTACCATTTGTTACTGTCAATATTCCTATTGTGTGTGATTCTCATGTTAACCTACCTTTGGATTCTCGTCCGTCACCACCACTTCGGGTTTATAATCAAAGACAACAATCCCAACAACCACCAAATGACTCACGTCTAGTGCCAACTTGTTTGTCTCCTCCGGCTCCGACAATTGAGTTTGACTTTCCAATTGCCCTCCATAAAGGTATATGTTCTACTCGTAATTCATCTCCTCATTATACTGCTTTGAGTTACCATAGATTATCTCTACATTTTTATACCTGCCTTTCGCTCATTTCTTCTATGTCAATTTTGAAATTTGTTGGTGATGTCTTAGCCCATCCTGGTTAGCATCAAGGCATACTTGATGAAATGAGTGTTTTTCAGAATAGTGGAACTTGGGAACTTGTCTCGTTACCGTCTAGAAAAATTGTTGGTTGCAAGTGGGTGTTTGTTATCAAAGTTGATCCTGGTGGTACTATTGACCGTCTCAAAGCTCGTCTTATGGCCATAGGTTACACACACATTTTTGGTTTGAATTATGGTGATACTTTTTCTCCAGTGGCGAAGATGACTTTTGTTCGCTTATTCATAGTCATGGTTGCTCTTCAACAATAACATTTTTACCAATTGGATGTCAAAAATGTTTTTCTTAACGGAGATTTGCAGGAAAAAATTTATATAAAGCAACCTCCAGGCTTTGTTGCTCAGGGGGAGTCTTCTGGATTGGTATGTTGTCTTCACAAATCTTTATATGGCCTAAAACAATCTCTTAGGGCCTGGTTTGGAAAATTTAGCAGTGTTGTTCAACAGTTTGGTATAACTCGCAGTGAGGCAGATATTCAATATTATACGGTCACTTAAGTGTTGGGTGTATCTATTTAATAGTATATGATGATATTATTCTTATAGGGAGTGATCACCATGGCATTTCCCAGATGAAACAACACCTATGTCTCCACTTTCAAACCAAAGATCTTGACAAACTTAGATATTTCTTGGGGATTGAGATAACACAATTAAAGAATGGTATTGTTATATCTTAGAGAAAATATGCATTGGATATTTTAGAAGAAACTGAGTGGATGAACTCAAAATCGGTTGACACACCCATAGATCTCAATACCAAACTCCTAAGGGGAAGTCTCTCTCATATCCTGAGAAGTACAAAAGATTAGTTAGAAAATTAAACTATCTTATTGTTACTCGTTCTGACATTTTCTTTGCAGTTAGTATAGTGTATCAATTTCTTAATTCTCTATGTGCAGATCATTGGAGTGCAGTCATTTGTATAATAAAGTACATTAGAGAATCTCCTGGAAAAGGTTTGTTATATGATCAGAATAACCATGCTAAAGTTGTCTGTTATTCAGATGCTAACTGGGCAAGATCTCCTTCTGATAGAATATCTACTTCCGGATACTGTGTTTCTATTGGAAGTAACTTGATCCCTTGGAAGAGTAAGAAACAAAGTGTTGTAGTAAGATCTAGTGCAGAAGTAGAATATAGAATTATGGTCTCAGTCACTTATGAACTTGTTTGGCTTAAACAATTACTTAAAGAATTACAATTTGAAAATATCACTCAAATAACACTTATACATGACAATCAGACTACTCTTCATATTAGCTCTAATCTTATTTCTCATGAAAGGACCAAACACATTGAAGTTGATTGTCATTTTATTCGAGAAAAGATTGTATCTGGAGACATTAAGACCGCGTTTGTTAACTCAAGTGAACAGTTAACAAATATTTTCACCAAGTCTTTTACAAGAACCTAGAATTGATTATATTTGTAACAAGGTTGATACATATGATTTATATATATATAAGCTTCAGGGGAACTGTTAAATATTTTAGATATTCTAAATATTATTAGTCATGTATTTACCATATTTATTTATATGACTCTTAATTATAAATATATGACCCTATATGTATTTTAGACAGAAGGGAATTAAACCCTATACCTAGTTTTTCACTATATTAAAAAATGTGCATCCCATTATAATCATGCCCAGTTCTACATAATATGCCTCAACCTCCCCTTTAAGTTCCTTCCTAATGGCCTTTAATGAAGCCAGTGTCCTGGACAGCCCTACGTCCCCTTTCACCTCAATAATTCTTTCATCCTTATGCACCTGGATCAAGTGATGGCGCAAGTCCGTAGTAAAATCCCCAAGCTCTTAAGCAATTCGTACCCCAATATTACATCCACTCCACCCAATTCAAATAAGAAAAACTCCTGAACAACTTGTAAGTTTGGTAGTTCCAACACCTTGGCTTTCTAATCTTTGCCCATCTCCGACTTCAACAAAATATCCCTTTGTTGCCTCGACGGGAATTTTTAACTCTTCCACCAAACTCGGTGACAAGAAATTATGGGAGGCTCCCAAGTCCACCATCACGATGACCTTCTTTCCAGCGATTGTTCCCCATAGTTTCAATGAATTTTTTGAGGTCATCCCTGCGATACTTCTTGCATTGAGCGGGAAACTTACATCCTCAGTTTCCTCCTCTTCAGGAACCTCATTCGGGATCACTTCATCTTCACCTAATAAGATGATGTGGAGCTGTTTATTGCGACACACGTGGCCCGGCGAATACCTCTCGTTGCAACGAAAACAGAGCCCCCTCCGCCTCTTCTCACTTTCTTTTTCCTCTGTGAGGCGTTTGAACCCGAGGCCTCTTCTGCTTGTGGAAGAGGCAAAAAGGTCACGAGACTGATTTATACCTGGCCTCTCGACCCGATTGCCACTAGGGCGGGTCGACGTCCTCTGACCGAAAGATGAAGTGGGTTCGCTTCTTCAGATCCCGCCTTGTCGAAGTACGTATGAGCCTCCACTCGTTTCGACCCAATTATTTTTGTTACCGGTTGACCTGCTTCCTTTAGAATCAGGCCCAATACTCTGTTCTTCTCTTCCATCAACGTGCTTAAGTCCCGAGAGTTTCTTAGTCTTACCACCGCTTTGATTTCTTCCTTCAAGCCATTGAGGAAGGCTTCGATCATAAACTCTTCATCAGTGAAACGCAGCAGGGCAGAAAATAGTTCAAATTGTTCCCGATATTCCAGCACAGTTCTTCTCTGTTTTACCCCCATTAAAGCCTCGTATGGATTCTCTGAGGGCGATGACCGAAAACACCCTAACAGTGCTTGTCGGAACGCAGGCCAAGAAGGCGTCTGAACCCGTGTCTCCCACCATTAGTACTAGTTGAGCGCCTTCCCTTCCAAACACACCACCTTCAGAACTACCCTCTCCCCATCGGGAATACCATTTACTTTGAAGTATCTCTCTGTCCTGTATACCCAACCATAAGGATCGTCCCCCCGAAGTAAGGTACTTCCACTCTCTTCTTCACCCTTTCCTCCCTTCTCCATGCGTCACCATCTCCTTGGCCACCATCTTTGTTCCCGCCTCCCCTTTCTGTCCTCCTCACTTGTAGGGCTGACTCATATCTGGTTGTCATTACCGTTACCATCTGCCTCCTAAACTCCTCTTGCATAGTAACCTGCAAGCCCTCCAATCTCCGCTCAACGTCTTCTAACCGACTCTCCATACGTGTGGTAACCATCAGGCACTCCCGAAATCGGGAGCTCTGATACCAACTTGATAGGAACTGAGATTTTTATTGAATCAAGAAAAATCAACACAAGGAGTGTCCCTGATGTTGCGCACAAAAACAATGGAAAACAAAGCAAAAAACAAAGTCATCTTCCTATAACCTCCTTACCATTTCCCCCCCTTCTCTCTCCACATAAAGCTACGATATAACAGTTCTTACTCCTCTATTCTCTCCCCTCCTCATTCTTCTTGCCATGTATACTAGTTTGTTAATCTGTTATCATTCTCTGTAACAGTTTCCTTGGGTGTTTTTCCCATTCTACCCTTTCTTCTTTGAGATGTTTTTAATGGCGGTCCCGTTGGCTTAGACCCAACACCATCCATATAAGATGTACAAAGAATTTTAAATTTATGGTCCTTATACTTCATCTGAAACTAATGATGGCAAATGCTGAAAGCCAAAATCATTTCATTCAGTGACTTCACATCCAGCATCAAAATTAACTCAGTAAAGGAAAAACATATAAACTAAATGCAAAACACAACCTATCCAAACGGTTAACAGTCCCAGTACTAGCCCTTTGTAGAGTTTTCTTAATAGCAGACCTCCATGCAAACGGAAATGACCCACCCTGAAAGATGAAGAAAGACAGATTAAATGAACCCAAAATTCGCTTCTTTCATCTTTCCAATAACTTATTTTATTTCGCAGGGATCTTATATTGCTTACCCAATTAAAACTCCTAGATAGGTCATTTCCTGTCCCCAGTGGTATGATCCCTACGGGAGGAACCGGCTCTCGAACGTGTGCGCGAAGTTCTGTGAGACATCCTAATACCCAACCTACTGTACCATCACCTCCAGCAACCTGTCCAATCAACCACTTTCATTCATCCAGTGAAATTGCCAATATATAGTAACATGATATCAAATATTTGAATCAGTACATGCTACTATTCCAATTACGTGCAATCAATCACATTTTAAACTTAGAAATTAAAGAAATAACCACATAACCAATCACTTGTAATCATACCTCACTATTTCAGTTTTCTTTAGAAGGGGAAAATAGAATAAGTTACAAATCCTCTTCTAATTATAATAATTTCCTCATTTTTAAAATCAAGTATGCACAACGGGAAGAAACCGACACGGTAGTATAGTTTCTAGATGATAAGTGGTATAAGAGAATCATGACAACTTAAGCAATCACACGCTATCCTTTATAATATGAACGAATTGAAATGCACATTCCAGTTGCCGAATCAACATACCATAACCCTGATTCTTTCACGAGTTTCTTTGGCACAAGAATCACCAAGGCCCGCCAACATCTCCAAACAACCCAATCCATACCGTACAAATTCATGAGGCTTCACATCTGATAAGTCGAAAACCTGCACCGTACAACCAAACAACAATCACGACATGGAAAGACGAACAAAGTTATAGAGAAAATAATAACAAAAGTAAAAATTCGAACCACGAAACCACATCTAGAGAGTAACTTGAATTCATATACGCGTCAAAAAGAAAAAATAAAATAAAATAAAAGTTATGTAACAGGACATGGTGATTCTCAAAGCAATAGCAGTGTCTATAACTAGTAGAATCCTTCAAAACAATACTTCCTCTCTCAGTTCAGAAGTTTCAGCGTCTCACTAACCCGATCCGATTATTTTCACGATTTCCATTGTTTAGCGACAAGTGATTCGGAAAAACATGCACTCAAACGAGACTGCACCAGAGAAAGTTTAAACACGCCCAGGCAATAGGAGCAGTACCTGCTCTTCACTCATGAGTTGCTGGAGTCTCTCCTTGAGAGCGGGGACGTGGCGGCCGCCACTGCGGGGGTTTATGAAGACGACCATCGGACAGGGAGGAGCGGCGGAGTCTTCACCTTCGGCGCGCTTGATGTAGCGGGACTCGCCGGCGGCGGGGTCCTTATGACGAATGGAATCGCGCATTGCGTAGCGCAGGTATTGCGGCATGGTGAGCTGCTTTTTCAACTCCTCCTTGTCAATTCGGATCCCGGACAGACCACAACCGCGAAACGAGTCCACAATCGACGACCGAACCGCTATCTTCTTCGTCTCACCCGTCGTCGACGGCGAACCCATCTTCTTCCTCGCCCTCACTTTCTCTCTGCACCCACTGGATTCTTTTCTTCTTCTCTGAGGCAAACCCCTCGGTTCGCCTCCCCTTTGAACTCTGTACAAAATTTAAAATCAAAGGATGAATCTGTTATATTTTATATTTTTATTATCAAAGTATAGTTTAAGAATAATGAAAAAAAAAAGTGTATGTGTGAAGCAACTCTGACTCTGACTATGTTATTTGCAGTGCGCAGGCAAGGACGAAAGTCCAACAAGGAAATTTGAGTTGGATTGGAAACACGCTAATTCTATAACTTTCCAAAATAAAGGAAGGCAACGTTTGCAAACGCCGTCCTGAAAACGCTTTTTCTTTTGGGTGTAGGGTAGGATAGGATGTGAAAAATACCCCTCGTGTTACCGTTATTTATTAAAAAAAAAAAAAAAAAAAAAAAAAAAGGCCTCATTTCTCTCTCACACGCACCCACCCAACCAACCATACCTTTACTTTCATCCATAATTAATGTCCCACCTTTTTTAACATTTTTTTTATATGAATGATAATATTTTCATAGTGTAATTTTTATTTTTTATGATATTTTAACACTTAATCGCGCTAATGATGTGAATAATAAATAATATACATACCGGTTCGGTCCATTCCCGGATGATAACCAGGTTTGAATTGAAACTTCCATCTTTTGATCAGAGTGTGTTGAGGAACACACCGTGACACGAGGGTTTAGTTAAGGGATTGCATCAAACGTGTGAGAATGGTGGCAGCCAAAAGAGAAGACGAGATAATTAATATAGGAAAGTGGTCTTAAATGAAAGACAGTAGAGTTGGGTCTAGGAAGAGTTTAAATGAGCAATTTGTTGTGTCTTGGATCTAAGACGAGACTTAGTCACACAGAAGAACAAAGGCCAAATTTTAACCCCCAACTCTTCTCCTATGTGTACATGTTGAACCCTATTTTAGTTAAATAATAACTGTAATTTACATTTGCTGTTGCTGCTGACAGTTGGTGCCAACTCAACTCTTCCAATGCTCAAAATGATTTTAGCATTTTTCCTTATTCAACAATACAGGACACCTAAACACGTGGGAGATTATGGTCCAGATAATCGAGTTACTTTTGTACAGTGTCTTATTTTTTTAATTTATCTTATTATTATTTATAATATTAATTTTATCCATTTTAAAAATGAAAGTTATTACTACTCTTTTCATGAATGTTATGAAATTTCTAATGAAAAAAATATATAATATAACATGTTCATTTAAAAATGAAATACTTCCTACGTTTAATATACAAAAATGTCGTATTTATGTTTGCATATTTAAGATATCATCAATAATATATTAAATTAATAAATAAAATATAAAATAATATTTTTAAACAAATTTTAATCAATCATATAAATAATATATTTTAAAAATTCTACGGATATATTATCTATCGTTTTATTTACTCAATTAAACCAGTTTAATATTTATCCAAAATTATTATGTCTTCACTTCAAAAAAAAAATCTCACCTTATTTATTTCTTGTTTTTTATTTTTTTCTCACTTCTTTCACTCATTATTTTACACTTTCTCTTTTATATATATATATATTTTTTTTGTCCTTTTCTCTCTTCTTCCACTTTGTCTTATTAGATTAATAATATTTTTATTATATATTAATTATATAATCATGTTAAATTGAGTTATCTTTATTATTTATAAAATTTAATTTTGTTTACCAAACATACGTTCTAATAAAAAAAATATGTCATAATCAACCCTCCTTTTTCCCATTGTTCTATAACAATAAAGATAATTTTCAATCAAATTTGATTTTCTTTTTTGGAATCAAATTTTTATTTAACTAATTTTAATTAAACATATTAAATAAAACTCAATCTTATTCATTAAAATTTTAATTGCATATAAAATATTTGATATTTATTAATTATATAAGTAATTGATTTATTTTGATAAAATAATTTTAAATTATTTATTATTATCATCATTTGAAATAATTAACTAACATTTTTTAGTTTTAATATTGATTTAAAAAATTTATTTAAATATATTTTATCATGTTTAATATAGTATTTTTTTATTAAAAAAATAGTGGAAGAGGAAAGAGAAAAATAAAGAATAAATGAGAAAAAAATGAACAAATAATAAAAGAAAATAAAAAGAATAATTATTTGATGTTAATCAGATAAATAAAATGATACAAATTCAATTTACATAAATTTTATTTTAAAATATATTATTTATATAATTAATTCAACCATTTTTATCATTTGTATTATTATATATTAAAAAATAACAATTTTTAATACATTTTTAACATGAAACTTCTCAAAATCAATCTTTGTGATAGTTGTGATCTCTTTTGATTCAATTCTATTTTGATTTTGAATGTGCTTTTTAATGATCAAAATATAATGTTCAATAAATTATGATTTAATTATTTAATGCTAAAATTATAAATGTATATAAATGTAAACGTGTTTTTACTATGTTAATATAAATGTGTATATTAAAGTACTCTTTTACAAAAAAAAAATTATTTCCTACTTTATAAGAGTACTTGTTTTAATGTGCATTGATTTTTATTATTTTTTCAATATCATGTGGCGTTGAAAAAAAAATTAAGACAAACATGACATTATTATAAGAAAAATATATAGAGAGCTACAATATTTTAACTAATATAATTTGGTTATAAATATGTCTCAATATGTTAGGGTATGTCTCTTCTAAAATTAATAAAAAAAATATCAGTCACTAATAAAATATTAAATGTTAATTTGTTATACATGTTATTAAGTATGAGTAATATAGTGCTAGCATAGTAAAATTATGTTTAATAGAGTATAAATGTTTATAATTTGGGTTTTTTATATGTGATGTATTTTGAATAAATGCTAAACTGCTTAAATAAGCATGTTTGGAATATTATTGTGGGTGATTAAATAGAAAGAGAGAATAAAAAACTAATTCAACGTTATATTTTATTACCACATTAGTACCTATAAAATGTAATAATTAATATTTTAGTACATGTTGTTATCTATATAATTATAATAATAATAATATAAAAGATTATTCTATCAGTGCTATTAATATAATTAGGAAATTTCTCAACCAATACAAAAAAAGTCTGACAAAGATAAATTAATTAATGAAACTGAAATCTGACAACCAACTAACATGTTTTGAACGAAGATAATAATTTAGTTTTTTTATATATATTATAAATAATAAATGAAAAGAAGAAAAAATATTTAAAAATCGAAAAGACCTAAATCGGAATAATAAAAAAGTCAAAATTATCATAAAGTACAAAGGGAATGGGAAGTTGCGGATGGCTTGGTGATCTGTCTACAGCCTGGTGTCAAATGGTTTATTTTATACTTTAATTATATTTATTCCCCACGAGTACTTCTAAACTCTTCCTAACCAACAACTTGCTCTGACAATGGAAGTTGCAGTTATTATTATTATTATTATTATACTTTTACTTAATAAATCCAATCAAATACAAAATATCTTTAAAATTAAAAAAAATTAAAGTCAATCAACAGTTTAGTATAATCAAAATAGCATGAGACATCAGGTCAAATAACTTAAAAAAAGAAAAATAAGTAGAATAAGTATATTTTTATTAATTTCCCATGTAATAATAATTTTTATGATGATTTTTTTTAATTGTAAAAACTTGTTTTTAGAAATAGTAGTAGATGAGAGAGTTTAAATAATATTTTTAGTTTAACTAAGTTTCTAAAATTACAAATATAAATTAAATCGATTTATTTTCAATATTTTTGTTTGTCAGATTTGATTTATTGGGAGCACAGTAGAAGATGCTTGAGCATTATCAATTTATCTTTTTTATGTAAAAGTTAGAATATTGGAGGAAAAATAGAATCAGATAAGGAAACTAATCAATACGTTAAATTTGAATTGTCTGAATACAGGTATTTGAGAGAGATTGATTGATTAAACCGTGCTAGAAAAATTCAAATCCAACCAGAGAAGAGTAGTCTAGAATTTTCATTCTATGTGTTTTCTTAAATGTCTTTCCAGATATTATTAAATATCTTTGTTATTATGTATTCCTTCCAACCAACCAATCATAACACAAAGTTAAATTCAACCCGTGATTGAGAATCCATTTCGATATTTGCGACTGTTCTTAGAAGCTGTCATTCCAACATACTTGTCAATTTAAATACTTGTCGCCACTGAAGACGGTACGTGTTTTCTTCCATTCATCTTTGGATCCGACACTTAATATGAAAAAAATACAAAAATAAAATTAAATTATAATATAATCATCAATTATATATATTTTTTATACATAATAATTATATCAAAAATATGTATTTTTAATCAATTGAATTATTTTATATTTTTACATTTTTCTTAAACATTTTTTTTATTTTTTGTTTAAATATTATTTTTTAAAATTTTATTTATCAAATAATCAATATCACACAATCATATATTATATTATATATATTTTAAAAAATATTTCTTTATATAATAATATATCAAGTGAACGAAGACTATAATTAGAAAATAAGATAAATTAATAAAATTAACAATAATTATTTTTATTTAAATTATTTATTTAAAATTTCACTCGATATTAGTTTATCACAAGGTATTACGACTTAATTATATCAAAAAAATATAATATATAAAAAGACATTTAAAAAAAATGAATTATTTTGTTGGTTAGCATTTATTAGTATAAACTTTTATCCTTTTATGAACTAATGACACCTTAATTCATATATTCTTTCTTCTGGTATAACTATAAAGTAAGGATATCCAAACCTTCATTGATTAAAGCAAAATAGATAATTACTACTTTTATAGACTAACTTATGATAAATATTTTACAAATATTAATATTAAATAGTATTTTTTTTAAGGGTCCAGACTAAGGGAGATGATGATGTACAATAACAATAAACACATGAAAGTGATTGAAGTTAAAGGGATTAGTTTCTATAGAACGTGGGTTAAAAATAAAAAAATCAATTATATTACTTTTTTTATTTGGGTTCACTTTTTTTTCTCATAAAATAGTTGGTTATGGAAGAAGGCACTTCGTTACTTAAGTCATGCTCCTCAACATGAAGGACTAGAATAATAAGAGTGCATTTTGTTAAACATTGAGAAGCCTTAAATGTTAATTCAACTCAATGACATATACTAATTTTTTTTTTTTATGGATAATCTCAACCTGCACTATAATGTCTATTAGCTAATTCACAAACTCAACATTTAACAAAAAAAAAATGGATTTCGAGAATTTCAATCACAAACAATATCTATAATTTATAATCTGAATGATTGACATGCAATATATTTAGCATTTATTTATACAATCAGCTGAAAGAGATATTTTAGTCCATGGGGATGAAGTTAAAGATAGAAGAAAGCGGCGTGCTTAAGTATTTTTGGACTGTTCTCATTAATTTTTTTTTAATATTTTTAAATATATCTCATTCCCAAATTTTAAATGTATTATTATTTAATTATATCTTTATTTTTTTAATCACATTATTACAGAAGAAGATAATAAATTATTAATAATTATTTTGAATGACAAAATATAAAATATTCATAAAAATTAATAAACTTATTAAAAACAATAAAATTAATATATATTTTTATTTTTATAATTCAAACTTTAATTAGGCATACTTAAAAATAAAAATAATAAAGAATAATTATAATTTAAACGGGCATTATACATATATCCCAACTAATTCACTGAGTGTTGAGTGTATACATATATTCCAACATTTTATATAAGTCAAAATAAAGTTTTATATAGAGTGATAGGTGATGTGGATAATTTTAGATTTTATTTTTTTAAACATTTTTTTCAATTTCTTCCCTCTTTCAAATTCACTTTCCAATTCAAACAAACTATTTGAGGTTTTATTTAGAATTAAATCAGTGACATGATTTAGTTATAGCAGTACCCGATGAGGAAGAAAGATAAAATAGAAAATCAGGGTATTGTTAGACTCACTTATAGTTTGCAACAAGTCTGAAGTGGATCGAGCCAGTTCATGGGCTTGGCTATGTGGAATGAGTCATGACAAGTAGTTTGCTTTTTGCACTATTTTTTTAATTACACTCCCTTCTTAATTTTTATATAGTTTTTACAAAATTTATCTTTCATGTTCTTTATCATATCTATTAAGGGTTACCTAAGAAAAAAATTATTTTTATCTAAATTTCATCCACAAACATGAATAACTCAAAATCAAAACCAAAATAAAATATTGAAAGAGATCTTATTTTACTTTAAACTGGTCTCACCAAATTACATTATTTTTATTATCTCACTGTCTATTTATATAATTTTTATTGTAATTAATTTTAAAAGTATCACATTTTTATAATGTTTTATTTTATTTTAGCTTTTTACAACTTAAAAAAGTGGTTTAGCTATTAAAATACTGTATATTTACTGTTAAGAATGAGACTCCTATATAAGAGTTAATTCTTAATTTTAATAATCCTGTCATACCAATGTGAGCTTATTTCAATGATGATTTTTATGTAAGGCTTTCTACTTAAATTTACGATTTTTCTTAAGATATATGTACATATTCAATATGGAGTGAATCTTTTTTTTTTTTCTTATGTCTAGTGTTTCAGAATTTCGGAATTCTAAAACTGTAGTCATTTGACTTCTGGGTTTAAATACTGGAACAGTAAAAAAAAAAAGTTACTTCCAGAATTTAAATCTTAAAAGTTTTTTTTTTTTCCGAAATTTAAACTCCAAAGCTAACCTAGTTGCATATTTGATCACGCAAGAAGAAAGTTTCGTTTTATCTAGAAAGAAACCAAAGGATGCAGCTTGTGTCTTCTATCAATTTGATTTGTCGAATGCAAACATGTTTCCAAATTTAAGCTACTGCACATTAATATATTTATACAATAATCTTAATTTATACAATAACTCATTTATTGTTTTCTTGTTCTTATTTTTCTATATTGGAATAAGAAATTTAGTTATACATACCATAAATCTTATTTTTAAAATACTATATTTAATTAAAAAGATTATATTCTGAATCAGGACTTTGATTATTATTTTTTAAAATATAATAAAAATTATATTTTGAAACATAATTTCTATATGATTATAAAATAATCCATTAATGTCATCATTTAAAAAAATTAAAATTATGTTTTAAATATTTTAAAAAATTATAGAAACAAAAACCATATTTTAAAACACAATCTATCCCTATTTTACAATTCAGTTATTCCATTTATTTAATGTTTAAAGAGTTCCCTAAAAGGCAACAAAAAAAACTAATTTATCTTTTGTACTTCCATGCATCAGGAACTCCCGCATTCTCTTGTTCTAAATATCTGATTCAAACGCCAGAACTACTAAATAACAGGAATGTCAAGCCTAAACTAACACCAAGAACTTAAGCGATGTTACTTATTTCACCACAAAATTTTAAAAATTAAAAGTAACAAAATTGTAACAAAAACATGATTAAAAATGTATATAAAGGAAAGGAAACTCTTCAAAGCTTACATTGCTAGGGCACAAATAACAAAAGCATTTTCTGAAAAAAAGAAAATAAAAAAATTAATATGGCTTATCTAGTGATCGGGTACAATAATAGAAATCACTGCATCTTGTCTTTCCATGTCAAGTAATTACAGAAATTAGGCTTACTGTCCTGGACAGCAGTTGATATATTTTCAACAATGACATTACCGTCATGATCAATTCTGTAAGAGACATCAAGGCCCTCCAAAATCAGGTGATAAATGACTTCATTGGAATTTAAAGCATTCTGCTCTCTTTCATGAACTAATGGAGTTTCGTTTTGGTGCTCATCTACATCAGAAGTATTACCCAATAGTTCATCGTTTTCTTTCTTAAGTAGAGTATCATGTGGCCGATTCCGTTGACTCAATGACCGAATATCCCATGAAAGAACCTGCTTTATCAAGCTTTGGAACTCACCGGGTGATGCATAAAGTGACTTCTTTTCCTGAAGTAGTACGCGAGAATCATCACCCATACGAATTGTAGTAGAGCAAGAACAAGAAGATTGAAATTGTGACCAAAGGAAAAAAATCATGAGTTCAAAAACAAACACATTATGCAATAGCAATATAAAACAATAATTAAATCATTAATATCTGAATAACTTTCAATAATCTCATTCCGAAATGTCTTTGTCCCTCTCCATTAAGGAGCTTTCCTCTTCTTCACCAACTATTCTAACTAGGGTACAGGGACTTTCTCTCAGACATTTTGTAAAATAAGGTGAAAAGGGTGATCCAATGCATGAGGCTCCCTAGTCCCAACAAGTGGGGTTGGAAAGCAGAATGGATTCATTCCATCAGTCCTCACTGTATATTTCAACTTTCTTCAAGGGTAAATATTTTGAAGTAAAGGGACACGTCTCTTGATTGACAAAATATATTTTGGTTTTTTATTACTTCCACTATTTTAACATTATACTTAATTATCCGGTACTGGTTTTACTTGCTGATAATTCCGTTTTATACGATGTTTTAGCATCTTAACAAGTTTTCTTTAACATTTGTTTAAAAGGCCTTAAAAGTACCACATGCATTTTGTGATGTTTTCTACTCCAAAATTATCTCCAAACTTTTTTGAATATTTGCTTTTACTTACCTTAAATTGCAAAACGAGGATGAGCTACGGTGCAAGAGTAAGGTTTCTTCTGCCTTGTGACTTAGAACTCACAGGTTCAAATTTAGAAACAAGCTGTCCATTTGCGTCCTTAAATAATGAATTAATTAAGTTTAGTCATTATAATTTCAAACTAGGTATCCCTGATTTTTTATTTTTCTTTTCAATTGAGCCACTTAATTTATCATTTCTTTTCAATTTGTTTGGTTTTGCGTTGAAACCAACTGACAGGAATATATTAAGAGAAAATTTTAAAGCGACAAGGAGCTGCTTTGCTAATAATTTGGAAAATGTGACTCTATTCTTCTTAAATGAAAACAAAACCAAACACACTGGAAAACCTTATCATTAACTCAGCCATGCAAATAACAATTAATGTATTGCTTCACTGATGTAACGAATGCGAATGGGTCGGTGAAGAGTGGACAGGATGCATTAAGTAGTAAACAACTCACCGCCGTTATCCAGCAATTTTCGAGAGCTGAACTGAAGTCCTCGGAAAAGCTAATCGAGGCCACAGAAAGTAAGTTATCCTCCTGAAGAAATACAATTTTTTTTAGATGAGATAATTCATTAAACTTCTATAAAGAGATGTAAGAAAATATAACATTACTCAAGTACATTTCGTTGCTGACACTAAATGTGGACCATAATATAAAGCTTCCAAATAATAAGAATACAAGAGTACATGAGTTTCATTGACTGGTAAAAGGTGGTGATGACTGATTATATATCATTTTTCCCACATGGAAAGACTAAATTTGATATCCAGCTAACAAATTGTTTAGAATTACTTACAGTCATTGAAAAATCAAATTGGCAAATTCTGTTGTAGATTAATTAAATTAACCAAACCAATATAAGCAGCGAAATATATAATTAAAGGAAAAAGAGGTATTACTATCAACCAATTTGGCACTGTAGCTTCTCGGATGCTGTCACAATATGGTAGGTAAGGCTTGACGTCAAGCACTGGCTGTTGATGAGATTAAGAAGCAACACGATTATGCATTTATAGAAAAGCACAAAATCAAATATCACGAGTGGCACAGAATTCCACTAAATTTTATATAAAAGCAGGGAATGAAAATGGAAGCTTACACTTCCATCAACCAGATCCACACCAGAAAGCAAAATCATATTTCCCTGTACAGCCTCTACCTATAGAACACAATTAGATAGAATGAAAGTTACAAAACTAGGTCCATCTTTTGTTTTTTGAATACAAAAAATTGATATTGTAGGGAAAGGATGGAAAAGGGAACAGAAACAACATGGAAAAAAAAAATGGTTATGATACAACGTACTGTTTATTTTAAAGTATTACCATGAAAACATATTTATAAACTTTACTTGGAGTGCACATTAAGTAATCACTGAGGGGACTGAGATTTTCCTCATCACACAATAACAAGGGTGAAGTTCAATTTCCTATCAGCAGTGTGGCTCAATTTCGACGTGTCACTGTCATTCCATGATCTGCAGTTCCTTTGTCAAGAGACTGATTCATACTTCTTTTCATCCATTCTTAAGCAAAAGGACAGGTGACAGTCATATTTTATCATACAAATCATTGTTGTTCCTCAAACTGCCTCAAAACATTGTAATTATCTGATGGATATACTTGTCACATGCATTTTCAAAATGTAAAACAGTACTGTATAGTTTCTTAACAACACCACACCGAGTTCATACTTGGGGCGATGGGGGAATAACCACCATACATGCTAAAACTGAAATTATCAATTCATAAACATTGAGTCACTTCTTTCATAACATATGCAATGACCCTAGCAACAAGGGTTTGAAATCCCAAACTGTCTTAGGAATGAATTTGTCATAGGCATAGGCTTGCATTGCAGCCAATTAGTAACCCTAAGAGGGATCATAAAGCAATCTATATATAATAAAGGACAGTGATAGGTTCTGAGACACTGGTTTGCTGGTTTCCAACATGTGTTCTTACCTTTGCAACTGTGAGTCCAATGGGGCATAGACGGTGTGGGGATCGTGTGGCAAACACTCCCTTTCTTCCACCCTTCAGTCTCGGAACCCTCACCTATCCATCCACCGATCCATATGAAAAAACTACTATAAAACAAAAATTAACATGACATAGCAATGGCAACATAGATAACGTTTATGTTTGAATAAACTTCCTTTTTAAGTATTAATAAAAAGAAGAAAACAAAAACATGAATGAAATAATCTTCTCATACATATACTAATTTTAACTTATGCACGTAAGTCTCGGAGAAATTCCCTCGTCTAACTTCTCCAATAATTAAAAGTACACGAGTTAATTTTGGTTCATGTCAGAAGTTCAATTCATTCTTTTTTTATTTAACTTCAATGACTAAATGAATTCAATTCTCTTCAATATATAATAAGCACTCAGAAGTACGTACAAAAAATTATGGAAAAGTTCATTTGAAAAGGCCCCAAATTATTAATCGAAACCAGAGCACGCACCTTGGCCTTGAACCCTGATTTAGACGGATGCTTCCACAGCTTCTCAAGATCCGTATTTAAGTGAAAAACATACAAGATCCAGCAATGAGAATATTCCTCTAAACCCTCAAGCGACGCTGGCGGAACGCGAGTAGCGTTAAAAACCAAACACGCCCTAGCAAGTGGCACGATTAACGGTTGCCTCGGCGTCCCATTCCTAGTGGAGAAGCAGGAATGGACGATACCGATTGGCATCATGGGATAACAAGTGAGGTTTAGGTTTTCAGATTTAGGTTGCGACTTCGTCACTTCTTCTCTCAAGGCCTGCAAATACTCGAGTCAGGAACGGAATTAGGAACGCATATATTTAATTGGAGAAGAGAGGTGAGAGAGACCTGTTGAGCCCTAATTCGGCCTTGTCTTTCGGAGGCGCATTTGTCGGAGCAAGACTTGAGAGATGCCTCGAGCTCTTCGATCTTGGAGTTCAGAAGATTCCATTTCCTCTTCAATGCGTAAACTGCAAGATTCAGTGAGATACATGAGGAGTGACTGATTACAATGGGAATCGAAATAGGTGATATGTACCTGAGATGGAAATGGCAGTGAGTGCTAAGGTTACGCTGACGGTCAACCATTTTGTTTCTGCAACATTGCCGCGCATCACTTAAACAACGTCTGGTCAAAGTAAAATCACTTCGCTTCCAATCTCCTACATCTTTATTTATACTCGCCACCTTGTAGACTACTCAAAGGCAGTGTTTGGCCCAAGTTTTTATTTTCTGCAAAAAAAAAAACTATAAATTTTATATAAGATCCAATAAAATTCACTTATAGCAAATGATCTATTTTTTTAAGATATTTTTAGTATATATTAATAAAACTTATTAAAAAAAGTTTAGAATAACAGTTTGCATCTTTTTAAAACTCTTCTCCAGACAAAGAATAAGTTAAGTTAGATTAATTTATGGCTCAACAGGTGGAAAAAATTCATCATGAGCACAATAAATAAATCACATTCGAATTTTAAAATAAATATACTCTTCATTTTATTTACACTAAAATCATACAATAATAACTTAGTAAATTTAATCGTATATTTTATATTTACTTTTTTATTTTTTATCAAAATAATGCTATCAAATATTAATTTTACATTTATATAAAATAATTTATAATTTAGTCACGAGATGATTTTTATGATATCTTTTATATATAATAATTAGCTTATTTATTTTCTGATGAAAAAAATTTATGTTGTATACTTTAAAATTTTGAATTTTAATTTACATATTATTTTATTTAAGTTTAGTCAATATGATATTTTAAGATCAAATAAAGAAGAAGAGTTCCAATTTTAATTATTATTTGTTTAAAATATAAGGAAAACAATAATTGTTTAAAAATTGGAAAAATAGGAGGCTAAACACAATTTCTTCAATAAATTTTGTGCGAATGAAAATAGTTAAAATAAAATTAAACTGTGATAAATAGATTTTAATTTTGTTTTTTGTTAATCCTTAAGACATTAATGTTGATCGCATGTGGCATATTTGAATTGATATCATATTAATATTATTTATTTTTTTAATTTAATATCATTGTATACTCTTTTTTTGTTTTGGTTATCAAGGAGTATGATTCATTATAGTTATGAAAGGTTTAAATGGGCTGCTAGATAACTTTTAATTAGGACTATTAAAATATGCTTTCTGATATAATCTGGTCTAACGTACATGCTAAATAAACAAGTTGGTATCTTATATTTTATAATATATCATAAATTTTCGTATAATTGAGTTTTATGTTAAATCTATACATCAACGGTCAAGTCTGCCTATATTAAAAATTAAAATATTAATATATTTATATTAAAATAATTAATTAAAAATATTGAAATAAAAATAAAAA